TTGTGACGAATAGCGAGGGCCAAGACACTCCTAATGGTGACGTAAGATTATGCTCGTCCTTGACGATATATCCGCTCTCCATTTCTGAGTGGGAAAAAGAAATCGCAGTCAGAAATTCAAGATCGTGTAATTTAACTGCCTCAACACTGCTGTGTTTTGTGTGAGATCTATCCCGACAGAGAGTCTATTCAATTTGATTACCTCGACGCGTACATGAAATGTTTTGAAGCAGTTAACAAACATTTTGACAGTTTTTGAATCTGCTTTTGGCTCCTCGCACTGTGTGACGTTTCAGAGTCTTCAACTCTGATGATAGAGGCAGTATGATCATCTAAAACGATAGTAACAAGGCAATTTATACATGACTCGATCACCCATTAAGGTGTCTACGTCTCTTCCTTCTACAACAAATCTGAAGATAGTAAAATTGTCAAAGAAGAATAATCGAGAATCTTATCTTACGTTAGAAGGCCTATAGTCATTGGTGACACCGCGAATTTAATGCTAAAGGTTTGTGGGATTTTTACGGATATTGAATTAATTGTTTACAAGTGATAGAACCAAGAAAGTTTTGGTAAAATCTGTTGTCTTTTCCAAGAATGTTAATTGATACGTCAGGCATCTTCTTGCATTTGGTTAGTATCAGATTCGGTTTTCTGGATACAATCTATTCTTATGCATGTAGCTAAGGAAGTAAATGAATGCATTTTTGTTACTGTACCAATATTATGTTGGATTTAATCGGCTGATTAAAATACGATCTTTATTTGGAACTGACTGTTTATGTTCTGATGTTTCATACGGTCCTGTAAAATATTAGTAACATTTAAATTATGTTTAACTACGAAGATAGGGTAACTTAGAATGGGAAGATTGTTATAAATTATGAAATGTAAGTTACCAATTTATTTTCAGTCACGATGCCAACAATTTCAAAAGGGGTGTTAAGTAAACCCACTAAATCTAACACTAACGATAACTACCTTCCGATCCGAGATAGGAACCACGGCCAATTCGTCTGCAGCTTTCTGGGTAATTTTATTTTTCCTTGACAAATATAATATTAATAACAGTTATTTAACAAGAGACCAGTCATACAACAAACCAGCCCAGCAACTCCACCTACCGTTGTGTAGGGAGTTATGCAAATGACAAGGAGACAGACATATTGTCGTCAGTAAATCAGATGTGTTTGCAGCGCTGCGGTGGTTAGGTTAACATACTAAAAGTACCTCGAGGACACTGCTTGTAGTTCATATGAGTGTATAACAACTGTAAATGAGTAGTCCTAATTATTACTGACTCGAGATTTTGATCATAGAAGTTCATACGATAACCTAAAATTTTTGAACAATACAACCTCTGAACAATAAATTACGAATGCAAGCTAGATTTGACGAAATAATCAAATTATCAAATGCTGTTATGTTAACAGACAGACTTTTGTCTAGCCTGGAAATGGACATGGAACGTTCCCCAGCCACCCACGTCACAGACAGAGCTATAACCCAGAGACTGCAATGCACTGTCCCATGCAGACGTATAGATGCGCGGTCATGAAGTTCCTCCTAGCCTTTAAGTCTTCGCCCTTGGAAGAGTGGGCGACTTCGCTCTCAGACCTCTCAGCTGTCGTGAAAGATGCCCCGATACAGCAGGATGGGTGGTCCTCAGGTGATGGGAAAAACCCTATATGAGTATCGAAACATGATCAGTTCTACTTAGCAATTGGTCTGTCCCGTTTCTCCTCTGTTGCAAAACTAAGTCTCCATGGAGCACAGTCTTCAGAATGTAAAATTCGCTTAACTACTCAAGAAATTATAGGCTCTTTATAGAACAAAATTGTTCATTACCGTGTTTACAAGAGCCCGCCATAAATTATGTGATTTGAAATATTTTGTTCTGTGTACAATTGTTTGTAAGCTATAAATTAACGGGAAATGTAATTGTAGATCTGTTATTGGCTAAATATGACCTAACGCGGAAGATTTTAAACTTAATAATATTTCCTGTTTCGTTTAAATTTGAAAAAAAAATTACAGTCTCTACATCGAATTTCTGTTGGAGACTCGTCTGGCAAGGTGTAATGTCAGAAGTTTCAGATTCGCTTGAGAAGTCAAGTTGAATGAAATATTCGTCACAGTTCGTTTTACGTCGTGTTAAAGACCCGAGTTGAATGTCCATCCTCCCTGGACGTGGTCATGTCGATCCTTGACGAAAACTAAACTCAACTGCATCATGGATCAGAGGCCTTATCGAGAAGCTTAACAATAGATAATTTGGTCAAAAATTCCCCGTCTTTGCTTACCTCTTATAATAATCCGTGGCGTAACAGCTCCAGAGAGCCAAAGCCGACTATCTTGACTGCTGGCCTCACGTTCACATGCCTAAGCAGAGGTGAACGATCATCTAACCAGATATAGGGTGACTTGTGGTCAGAACGACGAACCCCCAGCCATTGCTAGCTTTCCTGACCGGATTACGCTACTTATTGTAGCTCCCCAATTTCCTCACGATGCTGGGTTGGCACCGGTCGAAAGCTCATGAGAAAATTTCTTTTCCCCCGAGATTCGAACCAGCGCGCATTCCGTATCACCGGTCCGAAACATGATGAATCAAAGATATAACCTGCAGTGGGTATATAGAAATAAAGTATAATGTTTTTGATCAGTAAAATTTGGTGTGGGAAATTTTAATTAACTTAGAATTCCAATACACATTTATAAATTATTATTATTATTATTTAGTGTTCTGTCTGACGACAGGTCCATATGAACAGAACCTTCCATCCTTTTCTCGGACTGGGACATGTTCATATACGTTCTTGGCAGATGATCCAGAAGTGGTTTGCCATTGCCTTCTTCTGTGTGTGAATGGAGTAATTGTTGGGATGCCACGGAGGAAAAATCCGTGTTGCCTAGACCACGGCCTTGCCCAACACAAGTTATAAATTCGGGCACCGCCGGGAATCGAACCCGAGACCCCAGGATTACAAGGCCAGCGTTCTAACCGCTAGACCACGGTGGCAGGATTTATAAATATGTCATCTTAATTATTATCAGATATACGTTTACTTCTGGGGGACAGACAAAAAACTTTTGTTCGTTAGCTTGGTGTATCTCGATTTGAGGGGGGGAAACCAAAATTCTAATACACAATAAATATATAAATATACTTCCTTTCTTCCTACATCCTGTAGTTCTTTTTGTAACCACCTTAACTGTCGTAGCACTAAATTTAAAGGTGCTGTAACCAAATTAGTATCGCATGAATAAGAAATCCGATTTCAACAGATGTAAGAATGACGTGACGGAAAGTGAAGTCGGTTTAGCCCTGTTGAATCATCGTCGTGCAGAGAGTGAGTGAGTAAGCGTGTCGTGATTTGAGGTGTGATTGTCACAGTGCATAGAGGAACACCTTATTTTGCCCAGGCCGCGTTTGTATCCTATCTTATATTCACGACCGGGTCACGTCCAAACGCGTCACGTTTTTAAACTCACTGTCGTAATGTAGGGTATACATGCTTTGCAATCGCACTCTCATTAATTTAGTCTGTACTAGCCGATGATTTGGTGACTTGTTCAAATTTGAATGAAAGACAACTAACATGACTTTGTATACAGACTCGCTGAACATCTGCATTTTATAACAAAAGTGAGGTTCCAAATGATAGAATCATTTTGTTTGTATGTTACAACGAATTCTATGTGGAATTATGGTGAATGAACTCGTAATCAAATATTTGCATAGATTTTTAACAGCGTTACAGAAACATAACTGTTTTTAACACTACTCGTAGTATGTAACCGGTTTTATATTAATCAGTTGATCGAAATACAAACACAAAAATGGGAACCGGTCACCTCAGTACATAAAACATCTATGTTTTTTACTATTATAAATTTCGATACAACATTAGTGAAAAATTTATGTAATATTAAATACGAGGTGCGATCGAAAGGTTTCAAGACTGCGCGTATAAAAACCCGTACACTTATCTCAGGTATTAAATTCATCCATCACCCTCGAAGTAGTTCCCCTGGGAGTGAACACAACGATCCCAGCGCCGCTGCCAAGCCTGGAAGCATCCCTGGAAATCTTTCTTTGTCAGCCTGTCAAGCACCATCTGCGATTCTGCCTGAATCTCTTCTATCGTCTCACATCTCCTTCCCTTTAGCTGAATTTTCATCTTTGGGAAGAGGAAGAAGTCACACGGAGCTTAGAAAGGAAGTTGGGGTCGGTTCTTGCAAGATCTTTGAGCTCCTGACAAACGAGAAGTCGATTCTGCTTCTGGTCCTCTGACAGGATGCGTCGCATGTGGAGTTCTTCCTTTAGAATCAGCTGACAGGTCCCAACAATGTCGCACAAGTCGTTGATGGTACGACGTCGATCTTCGTAACATTTTCGGGCGTTGTGCTCGAAGATGGTCGTCCAGAACTCTCGTCATCATCGACAGAGGTTCGGTCATTTTTAAAACGTGAATGCCACACCAAAGTTTGCGGACTCCCCAAATGCTTGCTTTAGCATTTCATAGGTTTCCGTAGCCGTTTTGGCGAGTCTTTGGCCAAATTTGATGCACACGCCATTCCGAAATCGCAGGAGGGTCGGTGTAATGCACTACCAAAACGCCCGTAACTAAGAAACAAATGCTAATTCGATGATGCCGGCTGGCACACTGATTCACTATGAATGTAGGCCGCATCCCCTAAAGGCAGAAGCTCGTACTACATCCGGTTCGCCCTCTATTGACACAGTCTTGAAACTTTCCGATCGCACCTCGTATGTATTACGCCTGTTAGTTTACAAGCGATTAGTCGAAAAGATTTTCGATGGAGATTCATATGCAGTTTCCTGGCCATTGATGTCATTGGTCCCAAAAGGGTAAAAATCTATTTCTGTCACATTCTTCAGTCTGCATATAATTATATTTTTACAGACTGATTGCTGGACCTGTTAAAGAAAGGAGTGAAATTTCTTCAGCAGTTTCTTGTGTTTGTTCGCAGCTGACGCCCGTGGGAACCACCATCTTCCAGGGCGTTCACGCAGAGGATGTTGATGCAGGCGTGAACGGACTGGTGGAGTACTTTATTGTGCCTGGTGACGGCAAAGGGCTGGGCACTGATGATGGCGTGGGACGAAACCGGATCAACGTTGCAGACGGCGTCGGATACTTCTCGATCAATCTGCCACACCAGGGTCAGGTGACCGTCAACAGGAGTCTTGATTTCGAGCGAACACAGCGCTACTTGGTCACCATCGTAGCCTCGGTAAGAATTACTTCTTCACACAAATATGTCGGTACTGCTAAGAATCAACACGACACAAGAACCTGAAGGTTCATCACCACCAATCCATAACATGTCACCAAACGTCGCAGGATAGTGGTTAGCACTCTTACTTCGTATTCGGTAGAACCCTAGTTCAAATGTTTACCCGGTGATGTTTGTCGTGGTTTTCCTCAGTATCAGCATCAAATGCCGCGTTAATTGGTACTTTAAATTACGCCACGAACGTCTATTTCCACACACTTTCCAATTTAGTATTTATTAATCACCCTATGCCCCGAAAATTTTCTGTAATAACCCGCGCTACTGACAACGTCGTTAAATAAACCACAACCCGCCATTGTTTTAGATTCTGAATCAGTTTTACGTGCCACTGATGCCGATAATCTGTCGAGATCTCTTGGACGTCACATTACTGTAAATTACGTTTCGTAAAAATTTATTAAAATATCTGTTGTCATCCATATCATATGTTCATGAGTGAAGGTGGTTCTAATTTTGTCTGGTGATGCAAATGAAGTCTACTGTTGGGATGTGCTTTATCACTTGTCAAAGATATTTTTTTACGGTTTTATCGTTGCTTCGGTGTGTTGCGGGAAGCAGCACTACACCCTTTCCTTTCGACTATCACCGGTGCGTTTGCTGTTGCGACGCCGATCAGCAAAATCTGAAAATTTGGGGTGGGGGTGGGGGGAGTGTTGACTGCAAGGGAAATGTGTACAGGCAACTCTCGGTTTACGAACCATTTCCGTTCCAAGACGTTGTTCGTTATACGTTT